AAATTGGGTTTTTCTCAAGCATTCACAGATCTGGCGTGGAATCTAATCTAGTTCTTAATTTGATATTGGTGCATGCATAAAATGGAAAGAAATAAGTTGAAAGATGGTTTACGCTAAAATAAAACGAAAGCAGGCGAAAATAAACGTTGAAAATAGTTATCAGAGAAACATTCTTGTGTTTCTTTAGAGATGAATTTGGTTATTTCTATTTAATGTGAAATACTGATGCAATTTTTCAAATCCTATTCGTAATTCACTCATTGTACTGCTGTTAGAAAAAAAAACTTTTCTGAATTTTCTTGATTCGCAAATATTTCAATTAAATAATTTCATAATCAATTGGATTTAAATTTAATACCAAATATTGCAAATTATAACTGGTTAAGAAAAGTCTTAACTTTAGGAACCTCTGTCACCCTTCCACGGAACACTAAGGTTCTGCGTAACACCATTTAGAAAACGCTGAGCTAGAGGCTTGTAACAAGCAAAGGCAATTTAAATGAAGTTTTAAGTCTTAAAGACAGTCTCATGAAAATTGAAGAGTTGATGAACATCACATATTGTGTAATTTAAATTTAAATTAAATGAATTCCACATAAAAAAAGAAAATAAAGAAAAAGACGAAAAGAAAAAAAGAGAAGGAAATGTTTAGGTATTTTCACATTCTTGTTTAATATTCAAAATTGTAGCAACTAGAACATAAGTATTTTATTTGTTTTCATACTATCTTAACAGTATATCATATAAAGTCAACTTTTCTGGATTTTTCAGAAGTATTAACATCTGAATTTTTGAATTGAAAAATTGGGTTGTTTTAAAGTTTCTCGGGTTTAACCGAATTCTAAGTGGGCCATGTGTGCTTTATATATAATAATATAGAACCATCATTATAATTATTATGCTCTATTCTTAAAAAATAAGTGTGACCAAATTGAAAAAGTATTATTAAAAAAGTGAAATAAACTTTCCCCTAATAAATTCAAATAAATTCTACTTGATTTGTTGTGATCGATTTGCAATGTAGAGTGTGCCAATGAAATGAACCACCCTAAATAAATTTTCATTTCATGATCGGATCCTCACGATCTAGGACTCCATGGTTCGAGGTTAATGGTTCGATGGTTAATGGTTCGAGGAGGTGACCTAAGATATGCTAATTAATTAGGGAAGACAATATTTTAAGTTACAAAATCTGATATAAAACGTATTTTGTCAGAATAAATGTAATTTTTTTCCCGACGGATATGGATTTCTGACTCCCAAAATTAAGGGGGTGGTCGCAATCAGGGAAATATGGTTCCCATAGTTTAGTTAGGAGAGTGATCCACATTTTGGGCAAAGTTTGGTTTTATTTTTTGCTCATTTCTCCATATCTCGAGAACTTTAATCGAACTGTAAAGATCTATAATATATAAAACCTATAATATATAAAATGCAATATGCAAGTATGAAAGAAAAAAATATTGTTTTAAAATCATTAGCTTAAATGCATCAAAGTGTCGGTGACATTCGAGTTCTTGCTAACCACAGAGTAAAATTGGGTACTTGCTACTGATCACGCTGCTGTATCCAACCACGGGGTATTGCATGGTATGTTAACGCTTAAGCTTTATGGCTTGGGTATATTATCACGCTGAATCAATTTTTCGGATAAGATTTAATACGATACCTGCAAGTGACGTCACGCTTGTGAGGCAGATGCGCGTCAGATGTGCGTGTTTTCAATAAACACGCAACAGTTTTTTTTAAACATAAATATAAGGTAATTTTAATTTCATACAATCTTAAATTAAATTAAATTAAATTTTATTTTATGTTTCGTTCAGATAGAACCTTTGAAAATTTTCTTTTATGACTTTAATAATCATTGTTACGGAGAAAACAATTTTTAATTTTTATTCACGAACACTATTTCGCGAATATACGCCAAATTAGCTAAATTTTCAAACAGTTCATGCCTAAAGAATATTATAATCGATTTTACTAACAATTATGCATTAAATGGACATGAATTGGTTTACAATAAACTTACCATTCACTTTCTATTTTTAAAAAAATTGATGCAGCAAGGTTTTGAGAAGAAACATTCTGACATTGGAATTCAAATTAACATTAGGTGAATATATAACGCTATGAGAGAAAAATACTTTTTTGTCATAACAAGGTTTTAGAGATATCGAGAGCATACTATAATCTAATTCCTCAATCCCTCCACCATTCCTAACACCTTAATTAGTTTTAAACAATAAATTAACAAAAAATTTTCAACACCTAGCTGTTTCTCACGGCTTGGCTTTGATTTCAATTTTTACTATTTTTAAGAGACGTCAGCGCTATTATCAAAGTTTTTTTTTCATATGAATGTGTTGAATTGTAATTTAAAAGGCCACACTAAATTTTACTTAAAATTATTTAAAGCCTGGATCGACAGCCCTCAAATCATACAAACCATAGTAAGAATGAGTTCGTGACATTTCTGCATGGTAGTATAAATATTAAAATTATTTCTATCTCAGTAGTGAGATTAAACTGAAAACTCATCCCAATACTCCCGCACCTCTCAAGTCATAACTTGAGTTTCTCATAATATATATTATATGCGATCACTCGAAAAAGGCAAACTTCGTTATCGATAAATGGTTTGACAATATACGCACCATAGCCCCATTTATGGTTAAAATTTCTACATCTTTTTCAAATAGTTTCAAAAATAAATCTAAACATTTACTTGGTAACTAAGTATTTATTTCGAAACAATACAAACTAAACCCAAATAAATACTTAAACGCATAACTAATCTTTTGGCACAGCATAAATTATTAAATAAGACAACCTAATGAAATGAATAATAACTATAGTGTTGCCAGTAGATAAAAACCCTAGTTTATGGTGTTACATATGAGAAATATATACGTAGATATAGAAATTCAAATCACAAATTTTGGTAAAGCATATTAAAATTTAAAAATAATAATTAATAGCAGGGTATATTACGAATTGTTTTACTTTCCATATTGTTTTCAGCAGTTCTCTATTCTGTCTTTTCATTTAGAACTGTTTAATTTTTCATTGTTAGGGCTAAAACAATAATGCTTTATTTATTTCTTTTTAAAGGAAGGTTTATCTTAGATATATATGACACGAAAAAAACTTTGCAGTTGTTATGATTTAAAAGACTATTATTTATCAGATAGAGAAGGCTTTATTATTCAGAGAAACATAATAATATTATCAATTGTAATAGTACTATACATAAGAACGAGTGAATAGAAAAATAATGGACTGCGAGAATTGAATAAAGTTAGTGACTATTTGCAATAGTTTATAAGTCCATAATACGCAAATTGTTCCCTAAAATTGTCATAGTATACTAAAGATATCGTAAAACCTCAAACCATTAATTAAGATTTAACTTAATTTTTTTCCTGAATCAAAAACTAAACTTCCTTTTCAGCTGCTTTATTTCTTGTCATAAAATTTTGCATTTGTATTAAAATTGCATTTTTCCCTATCAAGGGAATGGTAGAACTTAAAGGTTGATTTTTTTTAAAAAACTTTTTAAAGGAAGTACTATTTTATGCTTATAAATTTTTTCTATCCTTTCTTATAGCTAATGAGTATTTAAGGGCGAATTCTCCACAAATTTTGATATATTTGCATTTGTTTTAATGATCCCTATTGCATAAAAATAAAGAAAGCAATATACAAAAAATGCTTAATTAACCATAACTTTCAATTTACATTTATATTTTATTTACTTATTTATTCTTGAAGTAGCAACAATAGGTCTTATAAAATCGTTTTTTCCTTATTCTCTTTTCACCATCGAATTCGCAGGTGTAAAAAATTGTATGACAAAAACTTCGTTCCTCATATAAAAAATTTATATCAATCATTTTATTTATTAAGCAAAAAAATTCATTAAATGGCATTTTGGATTTATATTACAAATGAAAAACGTACTAAAAATTGCATGTTAACTTATCTAAATGTGTGCTTTTTAGGTTTTTTGCTTTCTGTTTTGTTTTTGTTTACTTATTTTTCCTCTGTATTTGCATCAGACTCATTTTCTAATATGTTGCAATTTTGTTACCTTGAGTACATTATATCTCTCTATAATATTATTATGAGTGCTTTGCAGTGTGACCGCATCCGACTTTCGCCCTAATCAAAACTCACTCTACATTCAATTTTATTTTTTTTTTGCTAATTTAAATTATTTTAAACACAAACTTTAATATTTCTTCTTATATATATATATATATATATATAGTTTAGGCGAATGATTTTTTCCACTGGAGAGAAAAATATATACATAACTCTTTCCTCAAAATTAAGTCAAAATCATTTTTTTCTGAACAAATCAGTATTTTTTATTCGATTACAGTAATTTTCGGTAGATGAGCCGCATAACCAATTAGAATTGAGTCCAATTAATATAAACAACAAACTACCAAAAAATACTTTTCTATGGGAAAAAAATAATCATAAAAATTTTTAAGATTTGCATTTTACGAAGACTTTCGAAAATTGGCGTATACTTTTGATATTTGGGTAATTTAGTAGCTAATAATTTGAAATCTTTAGCGTAGGCCCTGAAAATGTAAGAAAAAGCCACAAAAAAAGAACATCGNATACATATATATATATATATATATATATGATAGATAGATAGATAAATGCATGTTTCCTATCTTTCCATCCATTTCCTTTCGAAAGTTAAATTTATGAATAAAATTTTAGCTGTTGTCAAAAACCATTTTAGAAATCTTTATTCTCATTTTATGCGGAGTGATAAAAAATCCGTCCTCTGCATCATATTTTATCCGACAAAAATATAAATAAATAATAAGACACCGTCACTCATTTTTTGATCAATCGGTCAAACAGCTGAAGTTGGCGACATCTGCCAAATGTCATTGGCGTCAAACGAGGGGCCATAAAAAGTAGCAACCCTGCTAGCCGAAGGGAAAAAGCTCTTCTGACTCCGTCTCCGGCAAGATAGTGGATGGATTTTCGCGTAGTGCACCTCTCATCTTTAAAAGAGGAGCAAGAGCTCCTCTTCCATCTAATTGAGGATGCCTGGCATCGTAGTATTCAAGAGGAGATGGTCAGTAGGATCGGATGATTTCATTGTCCCGGCTGTCATCTTACTTATCCTACATACCTCATGGTAAATAGTTGTTTCTTTCATTGTTGTCATTTCTCTAGCTTTGGCTATTGATTAAGTTCCTTGCTCCGTATCTATGCTATGGGTGATAGAACAGGGTCCCTTGTTCTTCGCGCCCAACCGAGAACCCCCCTATGTTCTAGTTTTTTTATGTTGGGGACTGCGAGATTAGAGGATACCAAGGTTAACAGATGTAATAAGTAGGTTTAAAAATGGTGTTGCTATTGTTGTAAAAGCGCCAATACCATAAGTATTACATTCTTTAGCAATGAACTGTTGGCATTTTTGTTTGCTTTGGTATCGTCATGATGAAATATAGGTCACCATTTCGAAAAGAGGTTTTTTAGGAAATATTAAATTCGATATTGTAGATATTCTGAAAAAATATTTAAAATGAAATGCATTAAATCCTTATGCATTATATCACTTAAAAAATTCGGGAAAACAAATCAAAACATGGCATAAAGATTTTTTTTTTTGGCATATGTTTTTTTAAAGTCTTTTTTTTCTTCAAAAAACTACCACAATTGTAGTTTATGTATTCTATTAAGTTTTACAAATTCTATCTAACTTTTAGTTCACAGAGCTTTCAACTATACGTGTTGATCTTTAGAAGAATATAGCATTCACTAAGAGATAAAGAAAAGTGTTATAAATATGAGGGAAAAAATATGAGATTTGCATAAACATTTTGCTCCATCCATTCTTTATCGCAAGTATTTTTTCAACCTCCAAAATATATCAATATTTTTATTAATACACAAGTCTTTATAAATAACACGCATGTGGTAGTTAAAATGCATTTATTTTCAGTTTACTATACGAACATCGAGTTTTAAAAATGATATGATTATTCAAAAAATATAGAACTGCGATTGTGATTATCAAAATCAGAGGGAGTNAAAATTTTTGAAAATTGTAATCATGATTACAAGTAATTGATTACTGTAATCAAAAAATGTAATCGATTACATTTTTGGCCAACTCTGATGTATCCCTTTGCCACGTAGACGGAACTTAAACATTAAGTAATAAGTTTGTTAGTATTTTTGCTTTCTGAAAACTTTTCGAAACTTCCAATTTTTTATTCTAATGATTAATTAAGGATACTAATCTTATCCCCTACATTTTTTACAGTCTTTACGCTCTACGAAACTTATCTATGTTGTTTGCAATAAGCTTTCAAGCGAATGAAAATTAGAAATAAGTTAGCTCTCTCTGTATGATAATCATTTGTGAGATTTGTAATCAATACCATCAGTAAAATGCATAAAAGGATTAGTGATTGAACTCTATAACAGTAAGCTTCTCTCTATACATGTATACTATAATTCTAAACTTCTTTATATACATGGATATTATAATTGTAAACTTATCTATATACATGCATGCTATAATATTAAATTTCTCTATATACACGCATACAACACTGTAAAAAAATCTGAATAAAAGTACAGTATAATCCATCTGTTAAATTCATATTACCGTAAAATCCATTTTTACCATAAGATATTATTCCCTAATTTTTACAGTAATATTTATTTAATTTAAGTTATTCCGTGATTTTACCGTAATTATTACTGCAAAAAATTACGATATCTCAGAGGTTTTGTTCCGTAACATGTTCCGATAAAATGTACCATGAAATACCATACGGTAAAGTATGGTATTTCATGGTACATTTTACCATGAATTTTTTACAGTGTAAATTTTCTATACATGCATATGATAAAATTAAGCTTCTTTCGTTATCTACATGCATACTATATTAGTAAAGAACTCTGTATACTAACATAATTGAAAACTTCTCTATACACGTACATACTATAATTTATAATAGAAAGTTTCTCCATATGAATGCCTACTGTTACAAGAAAACTCTTCCTACAAACATGCATACTAGAGAAGGAAACTTTTCTCTATGCATGCATACTATAATTGGAAACTTATCTATGTATACACAAATATTATAAATGAAGGGCTGGGAGGTAGATAGAACTTAAATTGTCCAAAAGTTACATTTAAACATCGAATTAATCTTTATTTCTAGCAAGAAATTTTAAAAGTTTTCTGAATTTCCGTCATATAACAGACAAATACAGATGATACACGGAAACATCTTATTTCCTGCATGGAAATCACGGTATTTGTCGCCAAAAATATTTTTATAAATGCTCTCCTAAACAGTTTTAAATAGTGGCTTATCATTATATTCCCTCAAACCCTTTTATTATAATATATAATTATAAAATAAAAATTTGTATTGCATATGGATACAGTTAAAAATATGATCATTAGATATCCTAGATATCTCTAAACCATAATTTTATGAAATTTGGAACTTTCAAAATTATTTTTTATTGCATGTAAAATACGCAAAATTAAGTAATAAAACAAGATAAACCTTTTATTATAATATATAATTACAAAATAAATTTTTTTACTGCATATGAATACAGTTAAAAATAAGATCATTAGATGCCTTAGATATCCCTATACCATAATTTTATGAAATTTGGAACTTTCAAAATTATTTTTTATAGCATGAAAAATACGCAAAATTAAGTAATAAAACAAAATAAACCAAAAACATATTTTAAAATCAATGAATCTTGGGCCTTACACTCTATTTCATAAAAATAAATAACTATTATTTACTATTCTTTAACTATTAATACTGATCTATAATATGAAAAGTCATTTCATTAAATGATGCATTAACAATACTGGTAAACTGAATTTAAAGAAAACGCCCTTATGGTAATAAATGTGAGGTATTTGGGAACCATGCCAACGAAAAAATCTTTTATCAATTTAAGAAAACCGAAAAAAAAAGAACTGTTTTTTTGCCTTTTTTTTAGAAAAAAAGTATTCATAAAATTTTATTTAGTTAAACGTTTGAAGTATTTTCTTTTCTTTTTTCATAAACTGGATAAATATTGTGAAGATTATTGTGAAAGCATTTGTTTAAAACTTTTGGTTCAAGCAATTCTTTTACAAATATAATTTATTCTTCGTGATTTAAAAGCATTTGTGTCTTTTACAACAGTTGTGTAAAACAACAATCTGTTCGTAGTAAATATTTAACCCGTATTTACGCCATTACTTGTTTTGCTTAAAATGTTACGTATATTCAACGTAAGGTACCGGAAATCAGTTTATTTTTGTTTCATTTTTATAATTGAATTAGTGTGTTTTATACAAAAAGCTAGATAGAATAATTTTTAAAAAATTTACTGCTTTGTGCTGTAAAGTATTTCGGCAACTCTAATATTTTAATCCAAATTTCCTATACTTAATAATTTAAATTTTTTAATTTATTTTAAAAAAAACTTGCAATTATCTATAGCTTAGAGAAGAAGTTGAATAATTTTCATAGTTTTATATTATCATTATTTTATGTTTCTATTTGTCTTTGATATTTTGACCAAAATATTCAATAATATTCAATAATATTTTTAAATTAATTGCAGCAAATAAAATATGTTATTTTTTGTCCGTTTTCCCAAGTGACGTTATTACACCACAGGACTTATAATCGATATAATTAATTTAATAGTTCATTTAATAATTATCAAATAAGTTGAATTTATCTTACAAGATGTTCTACGCTCAGAAAAAGTATAGTCAAAACTACCAGAATATGGTAACATTTACCGTGTTTTTGGCTCTATGGGAGCATCAAAAACCTAGGTAACTTTTACCGAAGCGCATTGGTAATAAGTTTGATAAAATTAGCAATAAAATAATTTTTTATAACAAATTTGATAAAACTGGAAAAATTTGTACATTTTATTATACCTTAGAGCATAGCAAAAAAAAACATTTATTCTTTTAAGTTTGCTTTTTAGTTTTATATTTTTTACTAAATGTGTATTTACGCGAGCTATAATTTTGAAAAGCAGAATTTCCAATAAACCGTTACCATATGAATGGAAAAATGACCATATGAATGTACAAATTATCAAATTAATAATTTAAATACCGTATATTTTGTCTTATGTTATAATACAATTATAATATGTTTGTATTTTTAATAAATATTATGTATGTATTTTTACCAGAAATGACATTATTATACAGGGCGGTAATTTTACCAGGATTTTTTTCTTAGTGTAAAAGGTTTCATAACTAGAATAAAAATAATAAATTATTTATTAATGCAAGATTTACATTATAAATATTTTACATTAACGTCATGTAAAAAACTAATAATTAAAAAAAAACACTACATAAGTAACAATGATCTAAATTATAAATAAAATTGTTTTTAATAACGAATATTTTAAAAATATCGAATGAAATTGACCTAAACCGAACTTCGCCTCCATACACCAGTTGAGAAAAGCAGGTGATATTCAGAATTAAAAACAAGCGATTTCCAGCATAGCAGATTATCGATTTCTCTTAGTAGGAATATTTGTCACTGATACAAAAACGAGAATAATGTCGTGCCCCACCCCTCCAATCAGGCGCCTTCGGACAACATGTTCATTCGGCAAATCCCCGGGGACAGCTAATAGAATTCAGAATATAGAGCTGTCAGATTCAGATGATGACCAGAATATTTTAGATTACAAAGAAAGTTTTTTTTTCTAAATACTATCATTTCATGCTTTACCTGCCATGTAATAATGCTGCATTTCTTTTGAAATAGAACTAGACATATCAAATAAAAATTTTGTATAAATGTTTTTCATTTTCAAAAAATAAGTATAATAATTATTATAGTAAAAGTATCTATTTCTACTATAATGAAATCCGGATATAGTGAACACTCTATTGTAGTAAACGTTTTTAGTGTTTCTTTCCGGACAATGATTGATAACTACTTAACTAATATTATTTCATTATAGTTGTCAACTGAAAATATAGGTTGTTCATTTATAGTAGACACAAATTTAACTTTTGTAGATATTTAAATAAATGTAACAATGTGGTTAGTCAGTATGATTAGTTTAAAAATATGTGATATCAGATTTTCTTTTCTTCCAAAAATTAAA